ACTGGTGAATCAGGACCAAAAGCATATATTTAAATGAATTAATTTACGTAAAGTATCATACCTGTCATCCCAATATAACTTGGATCAAAAATTGTGTAAAGTAAAACATGAATTTTTGATTTGTTATCTTTAGGATTTGATATTTTTTTTTTTGGGACAGTTTTGAAAATAAAAATGTTTTTGTAATGCAAAACAAGTAATTAAAAATTTATTAGTGCCTATTTAATATTTACAAAATGTAATACTAGAAATTATGCTTCGATTTTTTGAACATCCTCTTTATTTATGTCAAATTCTTGAGGAATTGCTCCAACATCTTTCAAAAGTCTCTGTTTTTCAGCAAAATAATCCTTGAACCATTTGATGTGTCCCTTCTTTTCTTCAACACTTAAATAAGGGTTTTTGGACAATCCAACACAAACCAATTCCATAAAGTGCCTTATAGGACCTTTTTTTGGACACCAGGGTGCTAAATGCTTCTCAAGAAATATGTGTTCCATAAAAGGTACATCCCGTTCCTCCAAATCTACAAGTTAAGAAAAACTTACACTTGGAATTTTGGGTAAATATCTTTTTAACTTAAACATAACAATTTTGTAGAGTTTACCTTGTTCATTGTCTATGGGAAATTTCCAAAGTTTTCCCTGTTCAGTCCACAATATCATCTCCTGAAAATAATTTGCAGGAGGATGGGTTACTGCAAGTCGCAACTCTCTCTTATATAATTTATCCCAAATCTTGTTTTGTACTCCCTCCTGGTCTATATCAGTACTAAAAATTCCTAAAGGTCTGCTGCCAAATATGTTAACTGTCTCCAATTGTCTAAAATTAACAAAATGATACATTAGATTTGTTTCAACAGAAAAATTACATGAACTAACGTAGCTTCAAATGATTTTTGAATTCTTTTTTTATAAGGAATTTTCTCATTAACTACTGATTTGTCCTGCAATCTTGTTGATCCAATTACTTGTCTTATTTGCTGAGCTCTAGATATCTCTGCAGGCTTTTGTTCTCTATCTATTGTCATTCCCTTAATTATGTCACTAAAAAGAAACTCGTATTAATTTTGAGTAATTAGGTATGTAAAAAAAAGTTACCTTAAGCTTTTTGAAGGTTGTTTATTAGGGTCAGCAACAGTAACCAACAATTTTTGTAAAAGTTCTGATTCTGTTTGTTTCTGATTTCCTCCTATTACTTCAGCAACTTTTTTTACAGTCGATTTGAGATTACTTTCTGGAATGATAAAAACACTAAAGGATGTAAATAATTAATAAACTTACCAGTTGGTTGTTTAGAGGTTGAGTCTTCAGCTTTCTTGTCTGCTAGTTCGTTGTTAAAGTTTTTTCGTGTTGCACGTGCAAATTCAGTGGACTTTTTAGACTTATCTGCCACGACATCCTCCTGCAAATTGTTCATATTATTGAAAATTTTTACAATTTACAAATCATACATCAATCATTTGCTTTAAAAGTGCATTTAGTTTCTGTAAGGCAGGATTATTTTTAATTTCTTCTTTTGGTTTTTTATCTTTTATACCGTCTTCATCATCGTTTGAATTAGTAGATACAAACCGATAAAAATAACGAATACTTTTTTCTGGTTTGACCAGTATTTCTCTGAAAAAAGTAGGTTGTTCATTTAAAGAACTGCGAAATATTGATTCACTTACTTAAAACTTGTCCGCAACATATTTAATTTCAATTTATTAATTCTACCTAAATAGACTATTTTGTAAGGTTATATGTATCTTGTTTGACAGATGGGTTTACCATAGATAGCACATGTGTACATTGATAGTTTCATGGAAATAACTATTCTCACGCTGAACGGGTTTTTCTAAATTAAGTGTAACATTTTTGAAAGCTTTAAATTTTATGTACCATATTTTAGATTATTACAAATTAGTATTCGAATAAAGGAAATGTATTTGGTCAATAGAAATATTTTTGCCTTATAAATTCTAAAAATTTGATTGTTTTTTTTTTTGAAAGCTACGAGATTTTAGCCACAATCATGTCTAAAAAAATAAAAAGGAAGTGGAGCAATGAGTTTGTTATTACATGTTTTATTGTCTTTTGCATTTAAATTACTATAAAATTATAAGCTTTAACAGCTTATTATTGTCTGATTAAGTATATGCAATTACTTATTTTTTTGTGATGCGAGTCAAGTCAGTGGATATTTTTTTTAAACAAGTTTGAATTTACATTTGACAGTTAACCTGTGCTGTTTTGGAAGGTCGTTTATTTTTAGTTCCTAGTTCCTGCTTTTGTGATTTATCTTACGAAAAACGAAAAGAATAATCTTAACGAGATGATTAACAAGAAATGATAAGATTTTCCTTTGACTAGCTGTGATAAAGAATTAGTTAGTGTACTGAAAAATGAAACGAAAAGGAAACTCTATTTTTAAGGATGTCTATAACTACCCTTATTCTTACAAAAACGTATGCCATAGATTTTACAATGATACTAAAGGTAATTGAACATGAAATAATTAATGTGAAATAACAGTAATTTATTGTTGATTTTAGATAGTGTGGATTTCATCCAACGAATGGGATTGGTAAAGAGGTTGCCGGTTCATCAGGGCTGTGTTAATACACTTTGTTGGAATGAAACAGGTGAAATCATTCTTTCAGGCTCTGATGACCAACATCTTGTAGTTACACACGGCCATACTTATAAAGTACTGGAAAATTATACTACTAGTCATCATGCTAATATATTTAGTGCAAAGTTTTTACCTAGTTCATGTGATCGTCAAATCATATCATGTTCTGGGGATGGTATTATATTACATACAGGTGAGTGGTTTTTTAGTCAAACTAAATGTACTATTTTGTTTTTAATTTTTTTAATATTATACAAAATGAAGGTTGTTTAGGTAAAATTAATATTGAAATGGATCAGTTGTGGGTGTAATTTAATCATTTATAGATTTGGATAAGCCCCAAGAAACATTTTACAACCAGTTCAACTGTCATTCAGGTACTACTTACGAAGTAATAACAATTCCTAATGATCCTCATACTTTCTTCAGTTGTGGAGAAGATGGTACTGTACGTTGGTTTGATCTTCGTACAAAAACAAAGTAATTCCTGTTATATTGTAGGAAACTTGTTGCTCTACTGAATAATTTAATGCTATACAAGATGTATTTGTTTTTGAACTTGCAAGTGTTCTTTTTTATTTATTTCAATGTAAAAGTCACTAATGCACTGTTCTGTTGTTGTTGTTATTGTATAAATTAGTTAGTTTTGCTTAATTTGTAATACATGTAATTAAAATTGTTTTCTAGGTGTAAAAAGCCACGTTGTAGAGATGATATTCTAATAGCAAATTCACGGGCTGTCACTGCACTGACTGTTAATCCACTTGCACCCCACCAATTGGGAATTGGCTGTTCTGACTCCACAGTTCGAATTTTCGATCGTAGGTTTTTATCTTTAAATTCAGGTACAGTCTATTTATTAGTAACTATTTGAACAATCATTTTTACAAAAAAAAAATCATAGATGGATCAAATGCAAAACCTTTCTGCAAATTTATGGCACCAGATTTGGAGGATAGGCCCTACAGAATAACATCATTAAGTTACAGCCCTGAAGGTCAAGAAATGCTTGTTAGTTACTCATCAGATCATCTGTATCTGTTTGGTGTTCAGGTGTTTATTCAACTATAAAAATAGTTTTAATTATTCGCTTAATTTTTTAACTTGCCTTTTTGTCAGGATCGAAAAGCGGTCCAATTGAAAAAGTTAATGAAGAAATCTAACGGTAAATCTAAATCAGATTTGACTAAAGCAGAGGGTAAATCGCCTCCACCAGTTCGCAGGCTGAGACTGAGGGGCGACTGGTCAGATACAGGTCCAGATGCCCGCCCTGAAAGGGACACTGCAACCACTGTCAGTAAGTTCAAAACAATATCTGTTGTTTCTTTGTTGTTCAAATGATCAGTTCAGGTTGCTTTAATTAACATAATTGTTAAATTCTCATTATTTTAACGTTGAAGGTATTGGTCAAGCAAGACAACAGTTGCATTCAACTTTAATGCAACGTATGACTGATGTGCTCTCTAGAATGTTGAATGATCCCTTGACAAGGGCAGCCCTCAGTGCTGGCGGTGAGGACTCTCTGGCCGAGAACGTCAACGAACAAGAATCAAGTCCACGAAGTGGTGAAGAAGACAGCGCGAATGCCCCAAATTCAAACGAAAGGGACGAGACTTCAAGAACAACCACCAATCTAGAAGAAGGAGCCAACGATGAAGATGTTGAGTAAGTCTTTTAGATATTTAGGATGATGATATATTCTTCTATTATTTATATTATAATCTTCTACTACTTATATTACAATTCTTGTTTAAGTATGCCTGAAGTTAATCAACCTTCTGCCCCATCTTCATCTACTACCAATTCCGAAACCCCTACAACTTCTGGTTCTTCTACTACGGAATATAAGTCGCCCATCGTTGGCCATCTTCACAGTCATCTGACGGCTCTGAAAAATCTTAGACATGGGTTTATAGAGCAGACTGGATCAGAGCCGTCGGTAAGCTTGAAGTACTCGGAACAGAGCACATCTAATTCGACGATAAGCGTCCGTGTAGGTAACGAAATTGATCGGACGAGTTACATGGCTGGCGGTGATAGCTCAGCAACGTCTCCCACATCTAAGGATGGCGACTCCAAAGAGACTGCTGGAGCATCGAGGGAAGGTGATAAAAATGATATGGTAAATATACTTCTACTTTTCCGATCGTACTTCATTTTAATCAGTCAGTTTGGATCATTTTAATGATCCTATAAATGTATTTCGTTATGATTAATTGAATATCAATTCTTCACAAAAGCTATTGTTGCTTCAGTATCTTTCGTGATCAATACGTAACTATGAAGATAAAAGATTGCTTAAAAACGTTGAATGTTTTAATTAATAAAGTACAATAAATTATTTTCTAAAAAGCAAAATTGTATAACTAAAGAAGTCACATATAATATAATATATGCAACCCAACATACGCCGTATATGTTCATGCTGCATAGGTACTCGCTTTATCCTATATTATATTAAGGTTTTCTTTGCAGATTTCAGATGTAGAGCTCGATTACGAAAGTGACCCAGAAGAAACAGAGGTAGTACAAGAACAACAGGAAGCTGACGATTATTGTTATGAAGCTCAGGTGAAAACGAAGTACACAGGTCACAGAAATGCTAGGTAGTACATACTTATCGTAGTCAATTTAATTTACTTTTATTGATCGTTTCTTTTCTCTCAAAAGGACGATGATTAAAGAGGCGACATTTTGGGGCAACCAATTTGTCATGTCGGGCTCCGACTGCGGTCACGTCTTCGTTTGGGATCGAGAGACGGCAGAACTTGCCATGCTGTTACAAGCCGACCAGCATGTAGTTAACTGTTTGCAGCCCCATCCAACCCTTCCAATTCTTGCTACCAGTGGCATTGATCACGACATAAAGCTATGGTCGCCGGTCTTGGATGAACCCAATTTTGACGAGAAAGCTGCTGACGACGTGAGTATATTTTTTTTATGCTGTTGTCAGTATTCCATGCCGAAATAAGGACCCGTACAAAGCAAACTCGTTTTGTAAACATTTTTGAGAGTTTGAAGTTTCTCAGAATGGATTGAAAAGTGTATAAGTTAAAATTATAAATAATTTATGTAACTTTGTAAACACGAGTTGGAATTCTTTTTGAAAATTTCTATGAACATGAACAATTATTGTTTTCTTCTGTTGTCCATTCTTTTTTTCTCAGATTAATTAGATGCTTTTTCTAATTAGCTGGTGAAAAGAAACGCGATAATGCTTGAAGAAACCAGAGATACCATAACAGTACCTGCTGCCTTCATGATCCGGATGCTAGCATGCCTCAATCAGATCCGGCGCAGCGGACGGAACAGGATGCGTATGCGCGGTGACTCTGAAGAGTCATGAAATTAAGGTACTGTCTCTTCTCTTTCTGTTTATCCGTCGTTGCTATTTTGTTTCCTCTCTGTATTCTTTTCACTCGTTTGTTGTTGTTAATGTTATCGTTACTGCCCTAGCTATTATTATTACAATTATTGATCTTTCACGTTCAGCTGTATCCCGTTATTGTCGTTGTTGCTGCTGTTGTTACTGTTGCCCCACTTCCTGTCGAGACTTTTATAAAGGAAAATATATAAATAAAGAAGAAAGCTTCCATAATGTACAAAGATTAAAGAAATTACACGGCCTTGAATTTTCCATAAGTTTGCTAATGCTGATCTCATTTACGTTAGATTGATTTTGGGCAGTCAACATGTTCAGAAAATAATATCGATAATTCTTAGAACTAGATGTTTGACGTGTTTGCCTTTCTTTTTTGTCTATTTCTTTAAAAAAAAAAAAAAGGAACTTCTTTTGCGTAAGATTTTAACATCTAAGACTGAGCAAAGGCAAAGAAATCCGGAAAATTTGTTTTTCTTGTGATTAACGTATAATTAATTAAAATATTTTGGTGGTTTTAATGTTTCAAAAGAGAGTAAAAGATTGTTTAAACATTACTAATTCATATTTATAATAAATTAAAAATTAAAACTACTTATTTGCTGAACAGAATGAAATTTTCAAATGCAAAATTTTATTATAATAGATGCAAAATCCTCAAGTAACTTTGCTATTTTTTTTAGAGCATTTTCTTTTTTGTTTTTGTGGTGATACTAATATTGAATAAAACGGATGG